AGATCCCAAATGAATTCTTTCTGCCATAATTAAGCACTTTGCATGCCTTATACAAGCATAAAATTTGAGGTAAAGAAAATGAAATTCATGTATTCTGAATGAGAGAATCTCAATTTATACCATTTTTTTCCCCAGATTATGCAAAAATCAAAGAACAGGGCCATTCATGTGTATATTTTTAATGATGGGTCTCAGAATGACAAAGAAATTGAAGTGTTGGATCAGTCAAGAGTTCAAACATTTAAGCACAGTGGTTTGTAAATTCATCGCTGTGGTAACTCCACTGAAAAACTGGTTCATATCAGAAACAAATTTATTGCAGTTAACTGATTCGTTTTCCAGTACCACCTGTCTCTATCTCTCTCTTTTTTTTTTTTTAATAACAGCTCTTCATCTCTACTGTTCACTAATAAAAATATTGTAATAAGAGATAATACTGTAATCCAAATGCCTATAGGTGCTTGAATCAACTATCTCTGCCTATGTAATTGCTAACACTTTGTTCAACCCTTTTTAAAATTGCTATTAAATCTCATTCTCATTTTCTGTATTAATAGAACAAGAATTCATTTTTAGTGTACCCTCAGAGCAGTAATGAGCATTGTTAACATGTAACAACAATGCCCAAGGGGAAAGTTTTCAAAGCCGATCTAACCTTAAGGCTTTGCTATTGATGTACTACAGAGTCATCAAGCCAAGAGCTGTTAGAGCCAGTCCATTTGGAGAGTTCAGCTGAATATTTCTGCTTGATATATTGGAAGAATTATAAATGGTTTAGGTGGTGACCTAGGGAGAAGGGGGAATTTTTGCTTAATAGCTTAAGAACAGAGGAGCAACATTAAAAAAATAACTATACCTCCTGCTCATTTTAAAGTGTATCACATTGTGCTTTTGTTCTGATTATTTTGCTTCCATACAGATTTTCACAAGAGGTTAATGAGAAAACATTAACAAGGCATGCAATATTGCACATGGGCAAGGGAGCTGAAACATAGTTATTTAGTTATAAACAAACAATAGATGTTACTTTTTAATTGCTTTTTCAGAAGCCCAGTTCTACTTTCTTGAAGAAGTATTATCTATCTTATTAAATGCAGAATATTATCCTTATTTTATTTATTATGTATAGCAAAAATAAATTGTCTAAAGCAGTAGCGCTTCACTGATTTCAACTGAATACCTTGGTCACAATTAACTAGTCAAGACCCTATAGATTGAAAGTCCTGTATGAGTTGCAGAGCACCAAAATGACCTCCTTGAGTGCTAGAATTCAAGATTGAGCCTTTAAGTTAGCTGAAGGCAGCAGAAGTGGCTTCAAGGAGTCTCTGTTTGAGGTACAAATTAAGAGGCTCAAAACCAGTGTATTACAGCAGCGATACAGAATAACATCATTTTCATTGCAGTTTTTGAGGTCTTGGTTTCATTACTGTGAAAAGTATAAGGGTGCATTTTAGACGATGGTTGAATGAAACAGAGACTCATTCATATACTGTTCCAAAATCTGAAACTCTACTGGGGAAGCAGGAGTAGAAATGTTCTTTTGTCGGAGTTCAGTTTTGTCTATGAAATGAATGCATAAATTGTTGTCATTTAGCTGTCTTGATTCACAGCACTTGGTCACACCTTTGCCCTTTCCTTGAGTATAAGCTAAAGGTCATCATGTCCTAAAACAACTAAATATGAACAGACAAGTTCAATAATGCCAAAGCTCAAAAATACTGAGAGTCTAAGAAATGTGTTGCGAGTTGTATATTTCTGTCCATTTTTGGAAATGAGAGGGGGATACAGGAGCAATCTTGCTGGTTAAATAGGATTCAGACCTTTGCAATTTCATGAGCTACATGTTTTTCACTTTCGAGCTGGGCCTGATGTTGCTTTTCAGTAGCCTAGTTGGTTTGTGTTGCAGGAAGGAACTTCTTAAGAGGGTACTCTAACAAGGGACCTCTTATAAGACTTTATTTAATGTTTGTTTTTAATTCTCAGAATTAATTAAATAGAGGTGAGATGTTGAATCTGATAGCAGGAGGACAGAAGTTTGTACAAAGCATGAATGAGGGCTTTATAGGTTTTCTTCCATCCCTCCTTCCAGGTTACTCCGCACTATACTGGGTGCTTCATGCTCTTGAGGTGTATCTGTCCCTAAACTGGGAATAAGGCATGCATTTGAAATTCCATTTATCACCTTAAAAAATGGCTTTTTCCTGGGCTGTTGCATAGGGAAATTCATTCCCCATACTCACTTAGTCATCTTCTGCTTTGCATGCATTGTCAGAAAGGTGATTGATGACAATACTATAAGGAGGAACCATTTCTCAGTGACCTCTGAACAGGTGTAGGATGGTACAGATTCTTGACCAGCATGTTGTGCGTGTATTTCATGTAGTTTAGTTCTTGTGATTCACTCTTTGGACCTCAACAGAAGGTTGAGAGCTATGTTTGAGGTAGAGGTTTCCCACTCTTTTCAGGGTAAGGATTCTGTTTGAAGCGTCTTCCCCAAAGGCTCACAGAAATTTCCAGGAGGCTCAGTCCTCAACAGGCAGGTCTCTGTGTGACCTGTCAATGATCTCCACTTGGTTCATGACTGCTAAGTGTCCAAACTGATAATGTTGTTTTTACCCTTGCTTGTGGACTAGACATGTTCTCTGATATCTAATCTATAGATTAGCAGCAAGCTTGCACCTTTCCTGCTCAATGGCCATTTGACTTTCTTTTGTCTTTTTCCTATAGTTGTCTCAATTTGTTTTGTCATTTTTTCAATACAGAGCAAAAGAAAAGGAAAAGCTTCCCTAGATCTGCTCTGTCATCACCAGAGTCCAATTATGTTTGAGCTGTTCCCTAGCCATGTATCCTATTTCTTAAACAACTGTTGCCCTTCTGATACATTAATTCATACACAAAGCGGGCTTGGTGTTCCTTGAACTGCCTGCTACAGTTCTTCTCTGGTTCACGCAGACCCTTGTTCCTTTCTCCCTGCTGGATTTAGTCATCTTTTGAAAGAATGAATGGATATGAACCTCAACTGATAAATACATGCATTTGAATCTGTGACTGATTTGTGGCTGGATTGTTTTTGATGACTTTTATCTGCAGTTGATTTGCATCTATTTGGCTCAGACTCGCTGGGGGTAACACGTAGAATAAATGAATAAATAAATTTGAGGAAGAGGCAAGGAGAGAACGGATGAATGAATG